GCAGGAAGCACAGTGGTCCCCACTCAGGCTGTGCAGCATCTCTGGGCCTCAGATGCCTGATCCTTGAAATGGGGTGATAGCCCCTGCCTCGTAGTATCGTGAGGACTAACTGAAGCGGGTCTGGCATGGATTGTTTCATTCGGGCTAGCTTGTTTTCACTCTCCCTGTACATTAGGATTCCATGATGGGTGAAGTGTGGGCAGTGGGGGGGAAAGGGACACGTAGTCCCTTTGATAGACTGCATGAGACTCCTCCACTGTTTCCATAAGCTCCTCCAATAGGGAGATGTGTTGAGGGTCCCTGTGGCTCTAGGAAAAGGACGGAGCCCTGATCTTGTGACAGACTCCCTCCTTAGGCAGTCTGTTGGTGTGAGTGGGTGGCAGCGCTCACCCGTCTGGTCAGGAAGTAAGCAGGCTTTCTGCATTGAGATGCCTGTCTCCAGGGGCAACCGGATGAGCAAAGAATGGTGTTCTTTATGGTGGCGTCCTTTTGGATCATTGAGTCTCAGATGGTGGGGGCCAGGAAGCCCCAGATGCACAGTGTTCCCCTTCAGTAGGAGCCTGGGACCCAGAGGTAGGCCTGGCCCCTGGGCCGGTGCCATTGCCAGGTGTGCTGCCTTGGACACAGACTTGGGGGGAAAGAATGGGGTTGGGCTTGTCTGGGCCACCTTCAGAGAAGGTCCAGCACAGCACACTCTTAGGTGACCGCCATCCCGCTGGTTTCACCAGCTGCCTGGGATCAGTCGCTGCTTTGAGCCCCGGAACACTCACCAGCCATGGTCATGACAGTCTTGTTTTCTCTTTCCTCAGAGATCAACGACCGGGAGCAGAAGTTGCATGCCCTTAAGGAGGTACTCAAGAAATTTCCAAAGGAAAACCACGAAGTCTTCAAATATGTCATCTCTCACCTGAACAAGTATGTCACGGGGCTTGCTGTTTGGTTTTCCCTCCTTCAGAAATCACCAGTCAGGGCCAGTTAGCAGCAGGATGAGGCTGAGCACGACTCCGTCCCCAGCCTGGTGACAGGGGCTGGCCCGGCAGCTAACCGCAGTCAAGTGGGTGCGGAAGCCACGGTCAGGAAACCTGTTAACGGACTTTTTCCCGAATTTATTCACACGGAATAAGTCTGTTTTCCATGCAAACCTCTTTTTCTCTTGACAAAGTGGTGTTTTATAGAGCTCTGGCATAGCCAGAGTGTTGTCACCCACATTGGTGGCCTGGGTGAGAATCCCTGAGGCGGTCCGTCCACTCTGGGGCTTTTGCGGACTTGTCACATGGGGACACGAGCAGAGCACAGGGCATGGACTTGTGCCTGGGCCTCTTCTGTCCTCAGGCTGGGGGGGAGGGGGCAAGCAGGGAGAGCAGCTGGGGTGACAGTTACCACGAGCACACACATGGCACAGGGCAGGGCACAGAGCGGCAACCAGGGCCCCCTGTCCTGAGAGGCCCTGACCGCGAGTTTGGTGTCGCCTGCAGGGTCAGCCACAACAACAAGGTGAATCTCATGACCAGCGAGAACCTGTCCATCTGCTTCTGGCCCACGCTGATGCGGCCCGACTTCAGCACCGTCGATGCACTGACGGCCACGCGCACCTACCAGACAATCATCGAGCTTTTCATCCAGCAGTGCCCTTTCTTCTTCTACAATCGGCCCATCAGCGAGCCTCCTGGCGCCACGCCCAGCTCCCCCTCTGCCATGGCTTCCACAATGCCCTTCCTCACCTCCACACCGGCCACCAGTCAGCCGTCACCCCCCCAGTCACCTCCGCCCACCCCCCAGTCCCCGATGCAGCCACTACTCCCCTCCCAGCTGCAGGCCGAGCACACGCTGTGAGTCCCCAAGGCCCGGGGCAGAAGGAGGCTCGGTCTTCTCTCTTCAGGGTGGCATTTGGCCTTGAACGCAGCCAGGTCCACTGGGGCAGGCGTGGGAGGGTGCCCCCTCTCCCCTGTCCCCTCCTCAGGACCTCAGCAGTAGCACCAGCCAACAGTCCACCATAGGCTGGGCTGTCAGGCACCAAGCCCAGTGCTGCAGACCTGGGGCTGGCTACAGGCGGCAGCCGGGGGCCCTGCCCTTTGACATGAACCCCTCTGAGGACTGAACTGGCCAGGCAGCAGCCCCGTCGGCCCTCCATGCGCTCACTGCTCCCCGACGCCTGCCCACGCACACCAGCCTTGGGTCACCTGCTGCTGGGACAGCCCTAGCCTATGCCAGCGGGAGGAGGAGGTTCCAGGATTCATGCCACCCCAGGGCGGGGCTGGCAACCCCTGAGGAGAACATTTCCCGCCTGTCTCTTCCCACCTTCCATACCTGCACCCCCACCCAGTTAGGGGTGCAGCCTGTCTGGCAACCTCCTTGGGAACACGTAGGCCACGGCTCTGCCACCCCAGGTACAGTGCTGAGGGCGACTGCCCAGCCCGTCAGAACAGAGGGAGGTAGCTTCATGCCTGGACCAAGAGAGGGCGGCTTTTCCCCTCTGGCCCTCACATCCCCCCTCCCCTTCGCAGGCTTCGGGGATACATTCCCTTTACAACAAAGGAACACTGGGAGGAAAATGGAAAAACCCATGTAATAATTTTAAAAAAGAAAAAGGAAGGCACTACAGGAAGAAAAACTACAGACCTCAAGATTCAGCCCTCCTCCCACCTCTGAGAGGGAAACAGGTGGAAGGAAGGTGGACCTTGTCTTTGTGACAGCAAAACAAGGAGGCGCAGGGGTGGCTGCCTGAGAGCCTGTTGGGGCCCACTTACGTCCTGTCACCAGATCCCCCTTTCCCCAAGAAGACAGTTTGAGCCCTTGGTGCGAAGAGCTGGGGAGAGCAGCTGACCAGCCTGGAACCTGGTCCGCCTTGGAACACACTACAAGCTGAGGAAACACTACTTTGTGTGTGTGTGCGCATGTGCGTGGGGGGGGAGGGCATGCCTGTGAGGGAGGGCATAGCTGACGGTGCCGGGGTGCACTTGGGGTTTGGTTTAGTGTACTTGGTGTTGAAGTGGAATCATTTTCATCCTGGGCTGTAGTATGCCGCCAGCAGGGGTATTTTGGGAAGTGGGCAGGAGTGGGGAACTGAAGTACGGTGGTCTGCTGGCGCCCGCCCAGGGGCATCCTTCATGCTCCCAAGGCCAGAAGGGCCCAGAGGAGCTACAGGCACAAAAGCCATCAGTCACGAGGAGAGCATCTTGCCTGCCTGTCACACCACCGCTGCCGCCGCCCCACTGCCATGGCCTTCCCCTCAGCTTCCTGGCCTTTCCACTGGCCCCTGGGAGAGCCCTTCCCCCCACCCCCTAAACACATCAACCCTGCTAAGGCTGCTACAGATATTGGCTGCCCTCCACTCCTGGTGTCTGGGCCGTGGCCTCTGCAGGGGAAGAGCCTGACACTAAGGTACCCAGGGCGTGGGTGTGGGGTAGAGGGCCCCGCAAGCCACACAGTCCTCCGGGTCTCGTGCACTTTAAGCAGCAGCACCTGTGGTATGTTTCAGGGTGCCCTGGGTCACCCCAGCCGGGTGGCCTGATGAGTAAGATGCCTCAGAACAACCTCCAGCCACCCCAGCCCCACACGCGCTTCATGTTGACTGGCGGGTGCAGCAGGCCCCTTGCTGACTTCCTCTGGATAAGCTGGATACCTTAACTGTCTCTAGTTCTCTTACGGCGAAGTAAGGTGCTTGGGAAGCTAAATTATCCCTGCAAGTTTCATCCCCTCTTTTAAGATGTCAAAAAGCAAACCCAAGGTACAGGAATGTTTTATGTACATGTTGGATGGTGGATGTTCTCTTCTGGTGGAGCTGTGCCTGGTGCTTTAGATGGGGTGGGCCGGAGGGTGGTATTTGTGTTTAGTTTTGACAGAGATTGGCAGACCCCCAGGCCGGTGAGGAAATTAATTTCTTGCTCTTTCTAGGTCATGCTCACCTACTTCCAGTCAGCCCTTCAAGGTATTGGGTTCCATTTGAAGGAAAGCCTTGGGGGTGGCCTGGAGCCACTGTCCCTTGTGTGAACTAAAACAAGTAGCCTGCTTCCCTCCCACTGCCCAGTCTACACTGCACCTTGTGCTGGGGCACTAGGCCACCCCCCACACTACTGCCACCTGCAACCTTGGCTCTGCACCAGGAACTCACCCCCAACGCCCTTGGCTTTCCACACCACCCCATCCCTACACAGATATGCACATGGCAGGGGTATTGGGGGGTGGGGCAGAGAGGAGGAGCGACTGCTTTTCCGGCTTCACTCCTGTGGAGCTCGCCTCCGGCCCCACAGCACCCCCTGGTCGCCAGCCTGAGCAGCCGCAGGCCCTTCTCACACCTGCTGGTGTCCTGCCAGGACTTGAAAGGTGCAGGTGGGAAGGGCTTATGCCCCGCCAGAGCCACAGTGGGCAGGAAGGTCCAGGGCTTCCTCTTGTTTCTGTTTCCTCTGCTAACTCTCAAGTTTCTTTTTTGCTTCTGCAGGCTGACTCGGACTAGGGGATATTTTCTGGTCATTCTGAGTTGGCATTGCCACTTAGCAGTACTGGGCTTAAACAGTACCGGGGGTTCGGCATTTGGACCAAATAGGCACTTGGAGGAGACCCATAAGGGAGAGCCGGGGCGTATGATGGAATGCTGCCCACAGCTTGGAACTGAGGATGGCAGGTAATGACAGGCTCAGCCTGGTAGGGGACCTGGTCCGTCCGTGCCCCACAGCAGAATAGTGGTATGCCCGGCAGCTCTTTCCCTGCCCAACGTTCTTATGCCCACAAGAGTGTAGATGCCATGCTTGGGGAGAATGGACAACCCTTGGTTGTAAGCAGAAGGCTGATCCTGCCACGACGGGAGGAAGGGAGATGGTCCGCGGTCAAGAGGCATTGCTTGTGCATTCACCCCGAATTATTGGCTGTGTTACCATCAGGTATCAGCATTCTGTCAAGTCGGTCCCATCACCTGACACGAGAAGCAACACAGAGAACTTTGCAGTACTGTTTCTATGCATTCTGCACCCCACTGCTGGTTTGGTCTTTCTTCCTGCTTAACACAGGAAGCATGCTGACGGGCAGTTCCGGTAGAATGTGTCTGCCAGGTGGACAGCAGGTGATGCAGGAGCAGAGCACTGGTCAGAGGGCCTGGGAGAGGGCTCCCTCCCTGTCCCTGTGCCTCCACTCCTGGGGGGATGGGAGCCTATGGGGAGACCTTCCCCCAGGAGAAGGGTGTTCCAGCCTTAGCCCTGAAACTTGAAAACAAACTGCAGCATTTGTAATCTAAAGTCATCTCCATCTGCACCCCTTCCCATCCTCTCTTATGAGAACACACTGCTTTGGGGGTGTCTGCTACACAAAGTAGTGGCCAAGGAAACGTGGGCTGGGAACCCCTGGGGCTCTGCTCAGCCACCTGCTGTTTCAGGGAGGAGGCTCTAGGGACTTGGGTGAGTTGCTGGGGACCAGGTTCCCTCACTCCACAATTCTCGTGTGCTGCCATGGTTCATGAGAACGGACCCAAAGAGCTGGGGTTAGTCATAGTGCTCGCTTGGCAGACAGTGGACAGTTGCCCTCACTCCTATTGCTTGGCAGGTTCAAGCCACTCATTTGCACTTAGGTGAAAGGACAGAGTCGTGTATGCCAGAAACCTAAGTCACATCCGGGACTGTGTTGGGGATGACACCAGGGACGGGACAGTGTGAGGGGAAAGGCCATTCTCCTCTCCCGAGGTCTGGGCCTCCCCAGGCTGTACCTGTGTCGCTATCTTAGGGGTCCTTCCCTCTTCTGGGGGCCACCTTTCAGCTGGCCTGCCTGCCTGCCAGCCTGCGGACTCCTCGAGGCCAAAGGTGACCGCCCCTCTGCTCCCACCTCACCGGCTCCAGCAGCCCTCCTTCGGCTGCTCAAACAGCAGTGATGTTACACTTTCGATGTAGTTGAGACAGGGCGTAAGTTATTGTTTGCATAAAAAAGAATCATGTTCCCTGTGTACATTAAAGAAAAACGAAATGTCTCTGAATTGTATGGGAATAAAACTTGTTTGAAAATTTGGAATAGTGCTGCTGCCAGCTTATTTTTCTGGTACTTGTATTTTCACATGTTAAATGATCTTTATATATGTTGAATTAACAAATATTTTGAGTTTCCTGAGAAAAAAAACATTAATGGTATTGAAATGTGTTAGTAGTCTGGCCATGTGCCCAAAATTCTGTTTTGCAGCAAAAGTGGAGAACTGTATGTAAAGAAAGTATAACAGTTATTTCTTTGTATTTTAGGGGCTTTAACCAGGACATCCTCTAGATGGTGTTAGGAATGTTTGCTTAATTTCCAGACTTTTTTGTTTTTTTGAACACGTCGTGGGTATTTTGAGGCTCCAACCTGACTAGTGCATGGTCAGCCGGCAACTGAGGCTGAGGCATCTCTGACGGAGGTGTTTTTGTTTGGTTTTGTTTTTTAAAATCATGTATTTGCTACAAAGTATTGTACTTGTCTCAATGGGAATGGTGTAAAAAACTGAAAAGGCCTTATGTGATATGTATCATAGTTAATAAATCCGTCTTGTAAAAAACCAAACCTGAGAGAAGTGAAGGTGGCCCCTCCTGCTGGGCTCCTGCCCCCTTAGGCCTGTGGGGACACTGGCCCCATCCTCAGAAGCAACGTCCAAGGACCCTCACGCAGGAGTCAGTCCCCTGGCCACAGGGAGGGAGGGCGCAGGGATGAGCCAGCAGAGCCCGGCCCCCTTCCACCTCCTCAGCTGAGCCCAGCTGCCTGGGAAGCCCTGCCTGTGCAGGGCCTGCTCCCGCCCTCCCCCAGCACTTCCCTGCCTTTCTCTCTAGCAGAGTGATCTGCTTCCCCAAAGTCAATGTGTGATTCTTGTGGTTTATTTCAGGTCATTATCCAAAGCGCCACCCACAGACCCCTGTGGCCACGGGGGTCCAGCAGGCCTAGGAGATAGGCCAGGAGAGTTGTTAGCCTCTGTTACCCTTTGTCCAGGACCTGTGTTCCAGGAAGGGAGGTTGGCTGCCCCTCAAAGAAGCCTCAGTCACCCAGGCCCAGTCTGCTTTGTCCCTGCTCCCTCCTCACCCCTTTCTCCTAGGCTCCTTAGGTCCAACTGCAGCTGTGACCTTTCTGTCTGGCACAGGCCTTCATTCCAGCTCACCTGGACTGATGGGCACTGCCACACCCTAAATGGCCTCCCTGACCTCAACCTTGCCCCTTCCGATCCATGTTCATACTCCAAAGTTAGTCCAGAAGGAAGACCTGGCTTTGCATTACCTATGGCAGGAGTGGGAACTAGTCAGTACAAGACCGACCTCCCCTTCTGTGCCTGTGGCAGATATGACTCATTGACCAACACCCTCCCACAGAGCTCAGACCCTCCACACGTCTCCAGACAGCAGCAACTGGAGACGAGAGTCTGCCTGCTTACATGGGCTTCTCACTGGGCAGTCAGGTGCTCACTGGACATCCACGCCAGGCCTTCTCAGCCTGCCCTTCCCTCCCACTC